GTTATAACAAAATACCATAAACTGGATAGCTTAAACAACAGAAATTTATTTCTCACAGTTCTGGAGGCTGAAAAGTCCAAGGCCAACATGATGTGTCCCAGCTTGTAGAAGGCCATGTTCTCACTGTGTCTCCACATGTGGGGGTGTGGGAGGGAGAGTGCATATGTGCTCTAGTGTCTCTTATAAAGGCACTGATTCCATCATGAGGGCCCTATCCTTATGACCTTCTCTACACTTAATATCTATCAAAGGCCTCATCTCCACATACATCACATGGGGGATTAGGGTTTCAACATATGAATTGAATTACGAAGGGAGCACAATTCAGTCCATAGCAGTTGTATTTTTGCAAAGAGCACTGTTTAAGGAATTGATATATGGGGGCCATAAGTCCTATTCAAAGAGATCCTGTCCCTTCCCTCTAGGAGCTTATAATCAGCATCAAAATCGTTCATACAAACAGGCATATTTATAAGCCATTAGGAACAAAATGGAAACGTAAAAGCAATGCATTAATAAACAGCTGATCACATTATGTAAAGGTCAAGCATAAAAGGATTTATAGTGGAAAGAAGTAGTGAGCACCTATTCTTGGGGGAGATCAGGCAGGGGTAAAGGGTCACATTAACCTAATCAGTGCTGGAAGATTTCACAGGAGGAGTGGGAATTCAGCAGCAACTACCAGCCTGAGTGGGAAGGTGGGGAGTCTCTTGCTGTCTTAAAACTATGTGACTTTTAAATTAGTGAATTGAAGGCTATGCATTGATATGTAAGGCAGGAGGATTCCTTTTCTTCCATCTTTGGCTCTGAGATCATCCTAAAGTTCATCTCTATCATGTGAGACTATCCTTTCAATGTATTAATTATTCTAATTCCCAGTTTTATGTCATATATTAAATTGTGCCTGCAAAATCAGATGTTTGCTTTTTTGTTTATTTATTTATTTTTTTGTAACCAAAGTCCTTGAAAATATTCAGGCACAAGACCTAACGTAAAAGAGTATTTTTAGACTTCAGAGACTTGACAAGAAATTCTTTGGCTCGTCATCTAGCTGAACTTCGCTGTGTGTTATCCAAAATTTACGAGCACAGAAGCTCTTCAGATGGTTAGAGCTGAGTTCAAACCCTCTTCCCACTCAATCTTAGATAAGGAAGGCATAGTTCAAGAAGAGTGTCAGTGGGTACACAGGTGACTTGAAAAATTTCCATTGGCTGCAGAAATTTTAAAATCAGTCCTCTGATGACGCCGTAACTCTCCTTTGGCAATGCATTAAAGATCACATGGAGGAAAATTTTTTGCACGTGTGACTAAATCCTCCATGCTCCAGTATTACATCCAGTTCCCCATGCTGTGTCTTCAGTGGAGGTGTTCTTTCCCTGCTGTCTGTAAAAGAAATCTTGACATACATGAGTTGAAGACATTACATCGCCTGTCAGTGTTGCCCTCTCCAGACAGGTCCTTTTATCTTTCTTAAAGGTCTTATTTTCCAATCCTTTAATCATCTCTGTGGTAAAAAACAGTTCCCATGACTCTTTGTCTCACTCTGGTCGTAGACACTAGCTAGTATGAGTCCTGCGAGTTATCTTTGTATTTTTCCACCCAAGTATTACCTCTCCTGTTTAAATTGAAATGTTGCTGTTGACTCATCAGACCTTTTCGAAAACAGCAATAACAAAACAGCTACGAATACATCTCAAAATAAGACAGAGAATGTACAAGTAAACCCCAATGATCTTTCCTTTGTATTACTCTGGCTCCTTTTTGGGGTCCCACTTCATGGAAAAATATGAGCCTTGATTATCCATTTTCACCAAAATAGCATTTACTATGGCAAGAATATTAACTCAGGTAAGCAAATGATTGTTCCTTTCATCTCAGCAATTCCACATCTACTCACCTTCCAATTGACTTTTTATAGAATATTAGTTTGCATTAAAAAATCCATTTAATTGCACTGGAAAAGCACTTCACTGCCACGCTCCAGGCTGACACCACGTTGCAGCTGCTCCTATTTAAGGGATAATTGTAGCCTCACTCTTCTACAAGGAACTAATTCTGATTTTGAAAGGATTTGTCCTCACAGTTTATCCTGATGAGAGAGGACTGGATTATTGCAGTGTAAAATAGCTGAATAGTTCTATTATAGCTATTATGCCACAAATGTTGTATATTGTTGAAGATCAAAGTACTGTGTCACACTCAATGGTGAGATGTACAAGCATGGCACACTTCCACACTATGTAAAAAAATACTGCATTTTATGAGTCATTTAGTACCATGTGAGGTATCTGTGGATCCTGTATCATTTTCTTCAAACTTACCGCATCATTCTGAAATCCTTTATTTTCTGGTTGAAAGACTTACAATCTAGTTATTTCTCACTAGTCTCCCCAGGAAATAAACTTCAGTACTCTGTGTTCTTCCATCGCAGGGTATCAGTTATCATCTATCATTTTATTTTACATTTAAATTACTTTAGAAAAATGTTAAATAACCCTGGACAACAGTAAATTCTAACTGGTAAATTGAGAAAATGTAAACGTTTTCCATCAAAACCATTAATGATATTTTTTAATCTTTAAAATGTGTAAGACTCAGTATTGGTTAGGTTCTTAGAAAACAAACACAGCTACTTCAGCCCATAACCTCATTAGGAAGGTCAATCTGTATAACATACATAACGAGATGTCTTATAATACAAGGTAGCCCATCTGAGGTGTCAAATGAATGGCGTTTAAAAAGAATGAGGTTTTCTTCTACTAAAAAGACTGTGACATCAGCTATCACTGAAAAACCCACCCTTAAATTAGAAGAGCCAGTGAAGGACTGAGTATTAATTTAGTTCACAATACGACATGCTTTGATTTTAGTTTTAATATTTGGCATTTCAATATCAATCTTTCTATATGTTTCATTCTCATGTTCAATCTGTAGAGGGTTTCTACCCTTGAAGAAAAACTAACTACAAAATCTAACAACAACAACAACAACAAAAACCTGTCAGGAAGTACCATTTTTTTGTTGAATAATTTTTATAAGACTTTCATTAATCACAGATAGGATTAACTGTCTAGAGGATATTTTCCCCAAAGTAACACATTCTGTATGTGATTTGGAGACATTACTACAAAATTTAGGACTTACCTACATAATACAAGGAATCAGTAAACATAAAATGTGGTCAGTGAAAACAAACGCAAATTTGAAAACACAATAATTTATGATGAAGATGGGTAATGTTGAGACAATGAAATCAAATGCTGGTTTTGGTTTAGAATTACTGGAGAGGATTTCCAATGCAATTTGTAAAATTAAGTGAGACAGTGAAATTGAATGTAAAGAAATTAGAGTAAGGTCTAAGACAGTGTAGGCATTCACAAATTGTAGGTATTGATATTATTATGCCAGTAAGGTGATGTCTTGTCCATGAACAAACATTTTCTAGTAATTAGAGTATATATATATAGAATTCCTAATTTAGATGAATGAATTGTAACCTGGACCTATACAACAACTTAGGAATGTTCACTTGAGAGTAACTGGGTCAATTGCCAAACTCCATCTCCAAAAGGACAGTGCAGATGATAGGGTCTTGAGAATGGTGATCCTCAATGTCCCCTTGTGAGGACCAAAACAAAACAATAATTTAGCCTATTTACTAAAATTGTGGGCTTTTAATAATTCCTTTGTGCCCACCTTATCTTTTCTTCTTCTAGACCAGTGGTTCTCAATCTTTCCTGAAAATTAAAACCATTGGAAAACTTTAAAAAATTTATATGCCCAGGACTTACCCTAAATGAATTGAATCAGAATCTATGAGGGTGGAGCCCAGGCATAAGTATTTTTTAAAACTGCTAAACAATTACTGCTTATGTAAGTCAGTACTAAATCTTGTACTAATGTCTCCAAATCACTCCACTGACCAAAGTTGAAAAAGACTACTCTAGAAGACTATAAATTCATCTAAAACAGGAACTATTTTAAATAATTTGTTTTTGTATTTCGAACCTATACATGGGGTAGAAGTACATCCATTCAATATGTAATAGGTCTTGGGTAGAGCATTATAAAGAGAGTATTTTTTTGGATTACACCGAGATGATATTCAGTGACTGGAGTTAGGAGTTTTTTTTTCAAAGGCTCATCTTCCCACCCATCACATCCTGCCATGAGCAGATGTGTCAATGTTGACTCCATGCACTCCATATGGAAAACCAGGCCCTTGATTAAGGTGAGGAATGCACAGGTCTCATGCATTTGAGTTTCCCCTTAAGGTAGAGGAAAATGGTAGATATGCAGAATAAAGAGGGAGACATCTTTATCTCCCAGGTGTCAAGATGTTGATAATGATATTGTTCCAGCCTTGCACGATTTCATCTTGTGAAGTTCACAGGGCCATCACACAGAAATCAATTATGGATCCAAAGGAAGTTTTTAAAAACCAAGTTTTTAAATGATGTAATACATTAGTAATAAATGTTGGATGGATGCCAGAAATTTAAGCATAGAAATGTTTAATTAAAATCTAAAAGGTTTATTATTATTATTATTATTATTATTATTATTATTATTATGGAAGGAAATACATATAGACACATTTTAGCATCTACAATTGAATTGAAACATGATGTTATAAACCAAAAAACTTCATTGAACTTTTATTATGAAGAACTTTATTGGAGGAAGAACAGATTTTCTATTTCTTACTTTGTGCCCCTGAAGGACTTCTGAATGTGGGGAGGACCTGTTTTTACTCATTGCTCCCTCTGCCTACCCCAGCCTCAACCATGTCAATCTTGAAGGCAGGGTGAAAGCTGTATTTTTGCTACTTATAAAAATGATAAGGGGAAGAAAGAAAAACAACGGCTTAAGAGAAAGAGGACATAAGGAATACAAAGCAATACTTAAAAAGTTCCTAAAGGAATCTCGCATACAAGAGATGCCCAACTATGTTAATTTTATCATTTCTTATACAGTCTTCGCTGATTGTTTTTCCAGGGTTTTTTTTTTTTGCCTGTACTTGACCATTGGTTGCTTTCAATTGCAAAAAAAGACACATAGTTATGGGAAAGTTGCACCAAGCAGTTGGCAATCAACGTGCACTAGAAGGGCTAGCAAAATGTTCTATGTGTCCTCCTTGGCGCAGGAAACACGCGGAACAGAGGAAGAACTTTCAGACTCCTTTGCAGGATTTGGGGCTCCAGTGTACGGGGTTGTTGCCTCCTAATAATGGAAACATCGCCCACTCCTACTTGCACTTATCCACGGAGGACACTGGCCCTGGGGATAAATCTGTTGGGCAGAGGTTAAGAGACTCCAAACTGTCCCTACCCCAGGGAGACACGAAGTTGCCGGTTTCCGGGCTGAAGAGGTAAAGCGAGAAAACATGACTGGCGATCTCCTCGTCCTGTGACTCCAGGTCTTCCGTGGGCCGCCCAAAGCGCCACTGGGCGTCCGGCTCTAAAAGAGAAGAATCCCATGAGGGGCAAGTAGCAAACCTGCACGTTTTCTCTCTAACCCCATCGTGTGCTGATAATTGTTTTCTTATTTACCCTTCGAATCACCCCTGTGGTCTTTTGTGAGTCCCCAAGGCAACCTCGGCCTTCGCAAACCCTCTAGTGGGGCACGGATTACCGAGGGGTGCGGGCTGGAGACGGGAGAGAGAAACAGACGGGGGTCACCTGTCAGAGCATCCACCCCAGGCGGGCGGCTCCTCGCCCAGCGACCGGCTCGGGCCCCTCGGACAGCGCAGAGAAGGGGTCGAGCTCCCTGCGAGTTCTCGGCCCCCAAGCACCGCGCTACGCAGAAAAGTCACCTCCACCACGGGCCGGGAGCAGGCGACGGGGGAGCAGTTACAGGGGAGGGGACAGCCTTGGACGGGGTGGCGAGGGGCGCCGAGGAAGGGGTGGGACGGCCGCGGAGGGGGCGGTGGGAGCGGGGGGGGGGCGGGGTCGGGAGGGGGGGGGAGCGGGGAGGCCGGAGGG